GAAAAACAGTATAAACTGTACGGTCTAAATTTAGTTTGCACGGTCTAAATTTAGTTTGCACGAAAGTTGTAAACAACACCATATAAGGATAGACATTCTATATTTGGAAAAACGAACGTTACGGGGCAGATATTCGAATTCATTAGTCATCGATGCAGGCTCTCGATTCAGCTTGAGAGCCTGTTCGCAGGCTAGCTGTTGAATGAAAATGGATAAAAAACGAGCAAATACGAATCCGATAAAAAATGTTAGTCAGAATCGCATATTTTCACAGTTGAGAGTTGGGTCTAAAACCATTGAAAATGAACTCCCTTTGGTACTTAAGTTGATTAATTTCACTTCATTAAACTACGCACATATATATAGGATATTAGACGGTTGCGAAGAGATATGGATTTTATGTTCGAGTGGCAAAAACAATATCTCACGAGAGAGCGCAGCGAACGAGTGAGATATTAATTGGGTTTTTTTGTGGAAACACACGTACATTTATTACTGCATTCGAGATATTGAGATATTTGAGATATTGTTTTTGACACGAGAACATAAATCCATATCTTCCCGCAACCGTTTAATGTTCTGTTTATTATATGGACTTACTCAGAGTGACAAAAATACACACAAAGACGACATGTAAATAAGCACGCGAAAGACCAGTATAAAAGCGATATTTTTTAAATTATACTGCAAACATAAAACTAGAATAAATTTTACTTATCTCAAGATGTCTTTTAAATGTTTTCGTTTTATTTCCAACGTTAATTTCGTTTCAAATACGAACCAAAGACCATTTGTATTTTCAAAACAACAACAGTGAAAATGGCGGGAAATTTTCAAAACTTCGTATGGCACTAGCAGGGGTGAAATCACTGAGCTGTATAATAACTGGAGGACCTGCTCCTATCTCTCGTCAGTCAAAAAAGTGTCGCCAAAAACATGGCGGATTTTGACGCCATATGACGCCATTTCCATGGCAACTGGTCCGAAAACCTCATGGTAGTTACCACTGACCAGGCTCAATTCTGAGCCGACGGCAGTTTTCACCATTGAACTATAAATAAACTGGAAGGCTAACTGCTATGATGAAGGCCTATGATTTGATGAAGCCAAAATAGTTTTTCTGAGTTATGAGCAGAAATACTTGACCCCAAGCGTCGGGCTATATATCAAATTGAAGCTATTGAAAAT